ATATATATATATATATATATATATATATATATATATATGTTTCTAAATTCTGCAAACAAGTAAATAAGTTCCATTAGTTAACATAAGAACAATAACTTTGAATATAGTTCTTGTTAACATTAATTCTCACCAATGAATAATCTATCGAGTTCCTTATTTTTTCTAAATTTTTTCTCCATGTGATTTATATTCTCGGAGAAGTGCAAGGGCTACATTTGCTAATTTTATAATAAGGTTCGATGATTGTAAAGGCATTACGAATTTATTATTTATATGCGAAATGTGTAATGTGTTAAAGTGTGTGTACTTTTCTGCATGTATGAGTGTATATAGTATTGAAAAATCTTTACGATTATTCGTACATATATCGTAATTATCCGACAATGAATAATCGAACAATTGAGACAGTGCATTAATTTTCTCTTATAAAAACAGTAAGGGGAAAAAAAAAAATATATATATATATATATATATATATATATATATATATATATATATATATATATATATAGTTTCTGCTGTAGAATTGAAGAAAGAATAAATATTTATTCATTTTTCTGAAAAGAGGACTAAACGAAATGGCAATTCAGCACTTCAGATTACCTATCCTTTAGGAATCATTGTACGTGCGTGTTGCGTTATGTTATTTTTCTATTAAAACAAAATAGCATCTCGATATATTTTCTACTTTTGTATTTTACATATATAGAATGAACGTGGGTCTTAGCGCTCTATATCACCGGGTAGCAATGCATGTCGATATAACAGTAAAGAACAGTTATAAAATTAACATGAATAAAGACACTAATCTGTACATTAACTATATTTATGGATTCGATAACAAAAACCATATTAAGAACAGATGAGAAAGAATAGATATATAAGTATCAAAAAGAGATATTTTCTCACACTTCCAACCAAAGTTAAATAGCAAGTTTTAAATAAGCGCTATTTTATTATTGATGGCATTAATATGATCATTAGGATGTTACCTGTCATTAATGTACGCGCGTAAAACGTCTATTATAGAGTAATATTATTCGTTACATCTTTCATAATTCGGCCTATTTCTTGTTAATTGAAAGATCAAACGTTTCATCATCAACGTTGATTAATTTTAGCCAGTGATTTAAGAGATTTATCGCTTTTTCCTAGATTTATGATAATACTGGCTATAATATAATCAGAGAATTAATTAGTTACAGTTAGTGCCCGCCTTTAGTAGGACCAGCTATTAAATAAACTTATCGATGTTCTTATTCGTATTTTTATGGGAGAATATCCAATCCATTCAACTATTTTTAAACATTTTCCAAAAATTCTTGGTATTGTGAGGAAGGATGAATGTTAAAGTTAAGATTAGAAAAGATTAATATAACTACATCATAAACAATGATTTGAATGAAATAAGTAAATATATGAAGAATGAATTTGTATATGACGAAAGTAAATTACGGAGAACTGAATTACTTTCCGAACTTATCTCTATCCATGATATACATGTTTATTTATAAAATATATAGATTCATTTTTTGAAGATTTTATAAAGTTAAATTTCTAAATGTCGTCATATGCTATTTGTAATGTCACTGTAAAATTTCTTTTATAAGAAACGGTGAAATATATTTTTATAGCAGATTATTGTATAATCAATATAATATAAAAGAGATATAACTATTGCTTGTATTAAAAAAATAATATCACCTGAAATTGTATGTAAAACTGTTTTGTTTTCTACAAATAAAATGATTTGTTATATAGCATGTATATATTTGTTACATTTAGCTTATATAGAAGTATAGTATATTGTACTTTTTAATATTTTGGATGGCACTTGTGTTTATAATTAAGGTTTTTCTTGATGGATGTAATTATATTAAATAAATCATAATTTGTAAGGAAATGCTGTAATATATTATGTGCAGGAATAAAAAAACATTGCGTTTCAATTTAGATACAAAATGTTACATTGGTCCCTAAACACAAAATAATTAATTACATAATTTAGAAAACGAATGGCACTATATAATTAAATTCTTTAATTTTTAAATATATATATATATATATATATATATATATATATAAATAATTAAGACTTCGATTATATAAATAAAACTGACGGCAAAACTAAGAACTGTATTCAGAAGTGCAACTTAACATATATACATATATATATGTTTATAAATTTTGCAAACAAGTAAACAAGTTCCATTAGTTAACGTAAGAACAATAACTAAATACAGTTCTTGTTAACATTGTCACCGTAAGTAATGAATAATCTATCGAGTCTCCTATTTTTTTCTTATCGTGCATTAAATGTAAATATCAATATAGTACACGACATATATTAATTCTTCAGCGATATATATAGTTTTGTAAAACTTTTAATAAATAAAGCACTAATCTCTTTGGTATATATGTATATAATGAGACTCAAATGATAATAATGAAAAACGTAATAAATAGCTTGTATCAACGTTATAAACGACTATTTCTGATGTTTATAAATTTGTAAAGCTTTTTGTGTAACTAAAAAAAAATATCGCCTGTTTAAATCGGCACCCTGATCAATCCTATAAAGCACTCTTTATAATCCACTTAAATTTCTATTCTGATTTTATGCTCAATTAGAAGAGTTTGTCATGGTATCATTAACCATACGATAACCGTATAATCGATATTGTAGGTAAATAATTTATTTCAATGTAATTATAAGACAAGTATGTAAAGAATATGCAGTATATATGCTGCACACTTTTTCATTTAATATATTTGTAAACAATCAATATTGTATATAATTTTTAAAATAAGTTAACATATAAGACTATAGTCTCGTTGTTAACTAGTGTTATAAACAGTAACTCATATAATTTTTTTTTACCACTAGATCACAATGGCTTCATAATATTTAGACAGTAACTATCAATAAAATCGCGATAAAAATATAACTACTGGTAATTATTTTATAAAAATCGAATTCGTGAAATAAATTATAATATTGTAACAAACAGATGCAAAAAGCTAACTATTTCAACTATATTTAACGTATGTCTTTCACATCATCGTTAATATTGTTATATTATTGTTATTGATAGCAATTCGTTTAAAGATGGCCAGTATAAAGTGTGTAAAAAGTTTCGAAAGAGAGAGTTTTTTCATTACAATTAAAGCTATGTATACGTGTTTCATATCAAAATTTATAAAAATATGCATTTATCACGAATATATATGTATATATATATTCAAAGCCATACCAAAAGAAAAAAATCTTTGATCGAAAGAACTAATGGACGCATTACTAGGGCATACTATAGTTATTAATATGCAGTAGGCATGTGTCAAATACAACGGAACAAATCTTGAAACATTCGCTGAATACTTATTATAAACTGAATGTTTTTTCAAATTTTCAAGATTATCTTCATAAATACTATTATTTATTCAGGCTATTTGCCCATGTCATGGGATTTCAAATTTCCTAAAGAAAACGGTTAGGCAACAGTTCCCCGCAAAATTGGAGGGAATAATGTTGGTACCAAGGAAAATCTCTACACGATATAATTTAAAGATTTGTTCTTTGTAACTGCACACTGCTGAACTAATGCAAAAGGTTAGAGTGAGAAAACGTATACTTGTCTCACTTCAATTTATTGCACCAGTTCAGCAGTGCAGTTACAAAGAACAAATCTTTAAATTATATCGTGTAGAGATTTTTCTTGATAGTAACATTATCCCCTCCACTTTTCAGGAAACTGTTGCCTAACCAAGAAAACAACAAAAGACTCTCTGCTACAGGAAAATACAAATAAATATACTGATATGTACTAATAAATTACGTTTCTCGTCATATTTTTCGTCACATGCGCACTGTAAATCATAGAATGCCATGTCCTTTAAATTCGGACTAATTTTTGGATTTCTTTTTTTTTATCATATAGCACTGCTTGCTCAGTACAAATAGATTAATACCTTTTGGTCTACGGAGTACACACATTGGTTTTTGTGTCGTAATAATGTTAACCTATATACTTATTCGTTTATCTTAAACTGAAAGAAAGGCACAAAGAAATATTATAATGCTAACTCTAGAGAATGGTAACTCCGCTAAAGATCGATACAAAAATTAACGCGTTTACAAACGTGGATGGACGCTTATTCTGTTCACAACTCTTGGCAAGATGGACAAATGAGGCGTCTACGCGGTCGACGAATCCTCGACATTTTCATCATTATTGGGAGAAAGTACGATCATCGTATTTATATTGTAAGCCGGTCTTTTCGGTTTCGGAGGAGGCGTCGGCGGTTTCGAGTGACCGTCTTGGTCATCAGTGGGCGTCGGCAGCTTATTCTTCGTCCATTGTCCCAACGATTTTTTACTGTTTAAGGCCGCGCTTTGATGAGAGGATAACTCATCCGAAAGGTTACCGTAATCAGCTTCGCGTGTTTTAATCGGTAAGGGCGGCGGCGGGTCATCCTCGGACGCCGTACTGTCAGTAGTACCGACGCTGTCTCTATTTCCCTGACCCAAACTGCTTGAGTCCAGTCCATTATTCACGTTCCTTAGATAATGCTGAGATTGTCCAGACCATCGATTGCTTACTCTTCGTTCTTTCTCCACTTCTGATCTCAGAGGACGTTTCGGTGTGAGCTGCGCGTAAAAGTATGCGAATGTAGTAACGTGAAAATCAAGCGAGCGAAAAAACAGCAAAATTCGATGCTCCTACATCGTATTCGCGTATGAGTTTTGCGTCGTGATAGCATTAGTCTATATTTATTCGTTAGGACATTATTTTTACGACTTAGGGACGTTTTTTTACTACTAATGGGGTAACAATATCGCAATTACATTTTTTAAATAACGCGCGATAACAAATACAATTCTTACCTTTATCATTACTCTACTTTAAAAAGGACATATAGACTGAGCAAAAGCAGATCTTAAAAAAAAAAATCTCTAAAACTTTGTGAGAAAAAATTACGGAAATTGTAACGTTATTTTTCTGTTATTCTGTTATTTATCTCAATCTGAAAGAAGAGCACACAAAGAAATACACTAAAACGCTAAATCTGTAAAATGGGGACTCTATTAAAGATCAATACAAATATTAACGCGGTTGCAAATATAGGTGAACGCTTATTATATCTATACGTTTACCTCTTGACGAAGCTCGAATACAGGTGCTGTGTGGAGATTAGATAGTAACGATGTGATGGACGTCGTTGAACTGTGAGATATATCGGTTGTTGTGTACCACTGGCTGGTCGGCTGATCAGTTTTCGTTACCGTTACGGAATCACTCTTTCGTGAACTTCTGCGCTTTGTGTCCTTCTTCTTATATGTTCCTGGACTTGGACTTCCCAAGGCCTTTTGCAAAGAGGCCGTAGACAAGATATGCGAACGCACTGAGTTATTCCTACAGATTAAAAATATTTAAAGTTACGAGATGACTGTCAATCAAGTAGACCTCTAATAGAACAAGGCAAACAGATGAAAGTAAATTATTAGCGATTGAATAATACAATACGTAACGTTATTAGATAAACAAGCAATAATTTCATAATCAAACAAGTAAATTTATAATTATTACAGAAATACGTAAAATTTGTGAATTATATGCGCTGCACTTTTGTTTGTTAAGCTGTAGTAATTAGTGTGATAAGATGTCTAGAAATAATAGAGATATCATTCGTTTTTTGTTTTCGCATCTATAACAAGTGCGTATCTTTAATTACCTATCGTAGTTATTGTAGATTTAGGAAGTTTAGCAGATTGGCAGTTGAAGAAGATACATATTCCAGGAACAGATTTGATGATAGTATAAAAAAATGCAAAACAGAACCATGCAGAAATGAAAAGCAAGAGATAAATATAAAATATAGAAAAGTATTAAATACTAGAATAATAAGTAAATAAAAGAATTAATTCAACATTATTTATATATGTGTATAAAAAACGCATATTAAAAATAATATAATTTAATAATAATATAATTTCTTATAAAGGAATACGAAGCATTTGAAACAGCTTTTATTGTCTTATTGTATGTTTTACCTAGATATAGATTTAAAATTTGCATTTTATATTTGTTATTCTTTCAATGCTGCTCGTATTCCGACTTATTGTTATCAATCTATTTTATTATTTATTAGTGTGTCTTACACCTACTCTCGAGATATACATACATATAAAATAATATAAAATAAATTAGTGCATGCGTGTATGTATGGCATAGAGAATGTATATAATTTTCGAAATTTTAATAAAAAGAAACTGAGTGGTGTATACATATATTGATATTTCTTTAAATAAAACAAAACGGTAAATGAAAATGTATATAAGAGTGCTAAGTGCGAAGAAAAGATAATAAGGTATTATTTGAGAGTTTATCAGGTCCAACAGCAATATTCCTGAAATCATATCGCACTCTTTTCTATCATGTTCTACATAGCATTTTATATTTTTTAATTTTTAATTTCCGCAGCTCCATATGTTTTTGGTAGCGTATGACAAATACATGCATGTATTATTAAGAATTACTAGATTAATAAAAATTTTATTAGTAATTATATATATAAAAGTGTTCTCTCTTTCTTAAGAAAGAATCTAGATATTTATATTATATAAGATCTCCACACACATATGACATGTTTTTGTCAATGTGTACACAGGGGTTATTGACGTCGATCCTTTCACAGTTAACTTACCTATATAAATAAAAATGATCGAATTGTGTTAACTTAATGTTAGTTAGCGTTGAAATTAGATTAAACACTGATATGACATTACCTTGATAAATTGACGCTTTGAGCACCACTCGGGGGTGTGCTGTTGTTAAAATTGAACGATGCAAGCGACTTGAACGTTGCGACTTGGGATCTTGTAAGTGAGGATACCCTGGAGTGAGTTTGATAGCTGAACGGGATAATTACAAGGTAACCGTATAACTATTCTATAATTTATACAGTGTCTCAAATAAATCGCGTTCTAAATTCTCTGTCTAGTACATATATATAAGGTATGTTTAGATTATTTTTTACTTATTGCGGGTAGATACAGTCGACACCGTTTAAGAAATACATTACATAGGATACTCATCGTTTACCACGAATAAATAATTGGATTTGATGTCGCTTTTTATATGAACTGATTTGTTAGCATATTTCTTTTTTTTTTTAAATATCGCTTTACGTCGATACGCAATTAAACGATTATAATGATGATTTAACACTGACATGCATCAGTTACTTTTGTGTTAGTATTCGTTCATAAACATACAAATTCATTTCCACGAATATGAGCATGCTCCGCGGACATAAAAAAGCATTAATAGAGACACTTACTCTGTGTTAGTCATATTTGACTCGGACAGACAATGATTATCTCCTCTTGAAGTCGGTGGTCTTCGCATGGTTACAGTTTGTGTTAAGCTTTCGATTTGCAAGTCGCACGTCTATTGCAGAATATATAATGAATTACATAAATTGCTAATTTACAAAAAATGTACATTTTTTTATATATGAAAATCTAGATTGGAAAGTTACTTGTTACTGTTATAAGTTATCTTTTTTCAATAACGATGTTATTTTTCTTTTTTCGTTAATAATAACGTAACATTAACGTTAATATTTTTGAGTAAAGATAACATCGTTACTTTATTGAATATGTGTATATATATATATATATATATATATATATATATATATATATATATATATATATATATATATATTGAATATATGTATGTAGAATAGACAAAAGCGAATCCTAAAAAATATTCTTTAGAGCTCGATAATAAAAGTAACAAAAATTTTAACGAGAAATACTGTTACAGCAGCATGCCACTGAGAGATTGCCCCGTATCGGTTAATATTGATTGAAATGTTTTTCACAGAGGCTGCGTTCCGATATTTATTTCCAGTACTGAAAATTTATGATACACATAATATAAACTATAAATTTTTAGTACTGAGAGTAAAGTAAATATCAGGACGCAGCCAGAAAATCAATACGAAGACAAACAGATAAAAAAGATGCACGATTTTCGTGACAAGCCAACTGATTGGAGAAAAAGTCGGTTTCGAACTTGACAGCTGAGCAGATGTAACAAGAGAAATATTAGTTGATTGTTCTTTCTTTAATAATTATGTTCCTTAATTATGCATCAGCAGTGAATCATTTATTCACGACGCGAGTAACTGCAACAATGTTACTTCTTGAATAATGATAACGCATTACTTTTCAAAAGTAACTTTCTCAATTTTGATGAAAAAGTACTGACAATAATAGAAACTTACTCTTTTTCCGTATTTAGTTTCCACATGAGTACGCATCGATGTGAAACACTGTTCTAAACGATTATGAAATGGCGCCAACTCAGTAGGTGCTCGCGTTTTATGCAATTGAAGACCTACGCTGAGTAGAGGAATTTGTTCCGCGATGAGACCTTCTAACTTAAGAAGATCAGAGCTCTCCTCTGGATGGTTACTCTTATACTCCGAGTTGAGGAAAGCTTTTTCATAGTTATCGATACCACCCATAACAGCAGGATCCAATATGCCATTTAATTTCATACTCAGAGGGTTTAGTGGGAAACTAGGATCGCTTCTGTACAGAAACAACATATACTGTATACAATATACTGTATATCTTTAGCATAATTGAAAAGTACGCTAATAATAAATTAAATAAGAAATTAATAATAATTAGAAATAAGAAATATAAAATTAAGAAATTAAGAAATAAGAAATATAAAATTAAGAAATTAAGAAATATAAAATTAATAATAATTACAAAGAGTAAACGAGTAAACTAGTAAACGAGTAATACACTAGCTATCCTAACAGTTGTATCCAGTATAAATTATAAAAGAATGTTGTACAAACTTGTGAGCAATAATGAGGTCTCTCAATGCAGTATTTGTAGCTTCCATAGTTTCAATTGCATTTCTCAGGGGGCTGACTAAGTATGTCTCGCTAGATGTTATAGGAAACCATCGAAGAATTCCCGGCAATGGATAGCTTGTTACAAGTACTGTCCTTTCTAACCATAACGAAGCAAACTCGTTACTACTGCTAGTGCCAACATTTGCTTCTTTTTCTTTGTCGCTACCAGCTGACAACGTTGAAAGAATCTCTTTCCTCGGTGCGGGTCTTGAAAATCTGAAGCGCTGTACGTCGTTTACACGATGATACCTGAAAGATGAGTTACAAAGCATGAAAAACGAATAATAATTTTATTAAATGAATAAAGTGTAAAGTGAACAAAGTGAATAAAATTGTAAAGTGAAGTGAATAATTTTAAGTTCTATGTTTGTTTCCTGACGACATATTAAACATGTACCTTAAAACAGCGTCCGCAGTAACTGGTTTGCCACTAAGCCGATGTCTCTTTTCATCCATCAATGGCTCTACTTTGTTGATTTGTACATACTGATGATTAGATTCCAACATTTCTGTGGTAGGCGGAGACAATTTGCTCATTTGCTCTGCATTAGGTAACTGATTCAGTGTTCTTGAGCAAAAATCGCTTAGCCGTTCGTACTCCTTTCCCCGATAAACAAATACCTATCGCAAATAAAAGATCAAATAAGAATGAAGTCGGATAAAAAACTTATCTGATAATATCTACACGTAAAAAAAACACATCTAAATACCTTATTTTGAAGAAACACAGGGTGTCCTTTGCCATAGTACGCAACTCTGAAATATTCTGGTTCAGGTCTTAACTGTTTCACTATGGCATCGTAAAATTTGGCCATGCGTGTCAATAGTATAGACAATTGTAAGTAATCGAATGTTTCTTCCTCATATTGTGATACTAATTCCTTACAAACGGCAAGAGCACATTCCCACATTCTCCCTTTATCAAAATATTCGATGATGTTTTTATACAATGCTTCTTTTAGTTCACGGTGAGTTTGGCATAATGGATATCTGAAAAATAACAATTATTTTATTATTATAATTATATAATTATTTAATATTTACTTGATTAATACACAGCAAGCTTAATAAACTATAAACCATAATTAAATATAAACCATCTGTTTGATAATATTACCTATGCGATATTAACAAAGGAGACAAAGGTTGATCACTCCATTCTAATAATTGGCTGTGAAGCTTCAAAGAATAAGCTGCTTCTGTATAATTATCGCATTCTAGATGTAGTTCACACAGCTTGTTTACATATCTGTAAATAAATAAGTTTTATTAAATTTACATTAAAAGTCATTACATTATTTTGCAGTTGTAATATAAAATATCCAATAGAAAACAGTAATAATAAATAAATAATAATTGTTAATCGGGCCTAAAAAATAATTAAGTAACTTAAGTTTAATAATAAAGAATTAGAAACGCGCGAAGAGAGAAAAACGATTTTTTACTTACCTGATATACATCTCTTTTCTGTTAATCTCGGAATAGAATTCTAACAAATTCACAGTACAAAGCATACGATGTTCTTGCGATTCAGCGTGAATAATATCACGATATTGCAACAAGCGTTCCATGAGTTTAGCAATGGTGTCCACAAAGCGTAAACCTTGTTCTCGCATTGTGGAATGTTTTTCACACAACGAACCCATGACATGAGACCAAAGTGTGCGAAATTGCTCATCACCTCTGCCTCCTTCTACCTAGAAATTAATTTAAAATTAAAAAATTTTTTAATTTAAAAATTAACCGGGAAATATATTAAATTCTAATATAATACAATAAAATAATGAAATAAAATATTATTAAAATATATAGATATATTATTAAATATATAGATTTGATGACAGTACAAACTGAATGAGAGAGAGATTATATAAGATATTTTGTCACTTTGCACTGACAAAACTACTTATTTTAGCATTTAAAAATAATAAAAACAATACCAGGATATCTAATTTTGCAATCATTTCGTTTTCGTATTCCATGAAATTAGCTTTAATATGAGCTGGATCACGTTTGGTATCCCCATATCCTTCCACTATGCGTGAGCTATAGTATTCGCATTGCATCATGTCGAAAAAGATGGGAATAGTAGCTTTTCTTAACTCAGTTTCCGGTATTAATGCCATTTCGAGAATTGCACCAACTAAAGCAGGTACAAAGAGTATTTTGTGTTGCCCTAAGTTGAACCACATTGATCGGATTTCGAATGCAGTTTCTCTGTAATGTGCAACATGTGTAGTTGATATTAATTTAAGAAGTTAATATTAATTAAGAAGTTGATATTAATTTTTCACGTTCTCTATCCTTTTATACAATATTTAATATAAAAATCTAAACATAGGATGTCAGCTATGAATAATTTGTCTCGAAAAACATTAAAATGAACAGTATTCTTCTTACTTGATCTCATGGTTCTTTAATATTTCGATACTGTCGGATATACTAGGTAGTTATAACATGACATGAGAAACATACCTGCGCATATCGTTATAACGTGCAATAATGCGGTTTCGTTTCGCTGGTGTGAATACTTCTAATTGCAAGGCAGGTTGAGTTAGGAATGCAATAGCGCAATGGAAGAAATTTGACCAGGCTTGCTGTTCGAACTCAGTAAAAAAATAATCTCTAATAGTGCCCGAGAAATATCGTAAGGATTTCAAGATAACACTATTTTGGAGCATAATCATTTCACACCAGTCCCCTGGAAATACACTTCTGGAAACTAAATCTTTGAAGACCAACAATATCTCCATCAGAAAATCTAGTAAGTCGATTCTTGTTCCAAAATGATTAATATATACTTCATAATGGTGTTGCGTCATTTGTCTGAAAAATCAGTAAAAAATGAAAGATGCTTATCGTTCTTTCGCAAATTTCTTTGCAACGGTTCATATTTTAAGATTTTGAGAATACCTAAATATGGCCAGCATAACCGAGACTAAATTTCCTACCAAGGGATTTTCTCTGTCAATCGATATAACAGTCTGTATAATAGTACGTAACGCTGTTAACATTATCTCCTTGACATCCAAAATTGTGCTACCTATGTTTTTTCTGAAGGTCAATTCCAAGATGTCAGATAATATCTTGACGCATAATTCCACCTATAGAGACACAAAGGCAGACTTAAAAATTAGATCGCTTGAATTATATTTATCTGTATCGAGTCGCGAAAACTTATCATAAGAATATATGAACCCGTGTGTTTATTAAATTAGTATGCGTGACAAATATCACTCTGCGATCTAATACACTCACATAAAAACTAACTCATGTTGATTGATGTAACAAGAATCAACGATCCTAAAAATGTAATGCAACACAACAGGCGGGTGCAAAGTATATCATAGTTCTGTGTTAAACAGTCTCACCAAATAGGCGGTTTTATCTCTGTAGGAGATTTTAAAATTCCTTGCATTTAGGACAAAAATTACCTCTTCTCTACCGGAGTAGTCGCGATGCTGCTTGAGCTGGTGCCGATTTTCGCCGAGCAACCTGGCTACCTTCGCCACGCTCTTTCCAGGCGTACTTGATAGCCCCTTTAAACGCCAATAACCAAAACCAAACCGTACAAAAAAAAAAAAGAATGAAATAACCATTGTTAGCTAAAAAACAATGCTGCTTCCTAAGACGTACACAACTGCATTTTTCGAAATTTCCCAGCACCAGCTGACGTGAGTATAAAATCACATGCACAATAAGGATGCAATCACTAAACAATGCAATGTATCGATAGTATAATATTGAATCACACAATAAGTAGTTTCGGACTTTCCAATAGATTTTCCATGCGAAAAAATTCGAAATTACTTATTGTACAATCTAATACATGCAGGGTGTCTGACGGTAGATGAGAAAACGCTCGTGTGTGCATATAGATTGTTACATTGAACAAAAATGTCCATTTTGCAAATAATTACATAGATTTTAGAGTTATTAATTAAAGAAAACAGGCAAACGTAATTACGCGTGATAACTAAAAAATGTATGTAGTTACTTGCAAAATGATAGAGGACTTTTTTGTTCAGTTCGACCGAATGTACAAGCACACAACGGAAGTCATACTTACCGTCACACCCTGCATCACATCGTACGAGATGTATCATTTTTCTTTAATGAACCCTCCATTGCCCTCGTGTGATACAAACGCTTAGTTGAAATTTTATTTTCTAATTATATAAAAATGACTTAATAATTGATTTTAAAACTTTCTGACTTTCCATTTAGAACTTTTTAGATTATATTTGTATGGTCGTTTTTCTTAATCTTGTTAGTATAATTTTTACTAATAGACATTAACCTTCCATTGCTTTTGTATAAGCGTTCAGTTGAAATTTTATTTTCTAATTGTATAAAAGTAGTTGGCTTTGAAATTTTCTGGGTTTTTGTTTAGAATTTTTAAGATTATATTTGTATGGTCGTTTTCTTAATTCCATTAGTATAACTTTTATTAATAGACTCTGGAAGTATTAACGCGCTCGTAGCGACAGTAAATACATAAAGTTAATGCAACTAGTGCTGTTATTAAACTTAAGTTTTACTACATATCGATAGTAAATCAATGTTTTAATACATCTACTCGCTTTTATGAAGCTATATTAATGCAATAATAATTAAATTCTCATTTAAATTTAATTAATAACAGGCATTTCTCATACGAAAGCACTAACGATCGTCAACCAAACGTGGGCAATAGAGATTTAATAACACAAAATTTTACGTAAGTTGTTTGCAAAATAGTATAGGAATTTCGTGTTAAGTTTGATCTAATTTACACATGCACAACATTTTCTCATCTATCGTCGCACATCCTATACACGAAATTAATTTATGAAATCATAATTATGATTTCCTTGTGCTCAAATAAATTAACTAGATTATGAAATATTCCAGGGTTTCTGTCATAGAGAGATAATGAATCTAATAAAATTATATCTAATTAAATAATTTCATATCTTTAAAAGCCCGTTGTAAAATGCAGGATGAACATTATGCAGTACTCATATCCTTGGACAAACACATGCCACAATCTGAATTTTATGCTCTCAATAGACATACATCAATATGTCTTTTCTAACATGCTCTACTTTGAGACTAAGTATAAAGGATATCTTTTAATACGTTGTATTTTCAGTGAGAACTCTATCAAACTTATCAAGCTTCCAGTATAATTATAAATTTTTCCAAATCTTTGTAAAGATTTGGAAAATATCTGTATGACGAAAATATAAAATTTAAAATTTAGCACGATATTATATTCTTTAACTCTTAGTCTGGGCAATTTTGGGGAAATTTTATTAGTCTTCAAATTAGAATTTTTTCGTATATGTTAAAGGGTGGATAAGAAATATGAGACCCTTGCTATGCTACTGTAGTGGGTTCCTCAATCAAACTTTCTTTTCAAATTGGTTTTTCTTCTTATTTATAGTTATACAAAAATCATTTTTTGTATTTGAAGTTTTGAAAAAATATAAATTTTTAAATTTATTTTTAACAAAATTATATAAAATAATTACGAATAGTTATATAAATAATTACATAAAATAATATGATAAGAAAAGTCAAAATATAAGACAAAATATCTATTATTATTTACATCAATCTCAAGACATTAAAAATTATAAATGGAATAAATATATTTATATATTTATTTTTATCCTTATTTTCTAAACTTTTATGAAGAAAAATTTTAAATTCAAAAGTTCTTTTTATTAACTTGTGTGGAAAAGATAGCTAATAATAATGAAAATAATAATAATAATAATTGTAGTTGTATTCTACAAAATTGCTGTCACGCCATTTATAGTGGCTTCCCAGATTTCCCGGCTTTCCCAGATAAGAGTTAATATATAAATACCACAGAGTTATATCACAAAACAGGAAATAGGAATTTTATATAAGAAATGATTTATATAAAATTTCAAACAATAGTAAAAAGATATCCTCCATGTAAAAAGAGGATTTATTAAGATTCATAGAAAGATGCGTGGCGGGAGGAACGCAGGCTGCACGGAAAGCACGAATAATGACATTTAAATACATATTACATTTAACAATATTCAAAGCATGTAAAAACGATGTATGTTCCTATCAAACTTCGTAACATATAAAGATCTTTTATACACTCATGATAGTTTTAGTTATTGTTTTATAAACTTAAAACACATAAACAAGACTTTAATGAAAATATTCGAGTTGAAAATATACATATACTTTATGTATATACCTTGGTATAATTCATAATTTGTTAAACTTTTGAGAGAATTATATTTTTTTCAGCATTACAAAATTATATAACCATAATTCTCTAATGCATTAATTATGCATTTATGATGTAGTTAAAATTTTAACTTTACATGCTGTGGGAAGTATTATACAGTATAATTAGAATCTACTATGCAATAAACAATCAATCAATATTTATTAATTAAGTCGCGCTTACAAAATAGAAAATATATTTATTTTATTTAGTTTAATATAGAAAAAGAGTCGCAAACATTGCAAGTGTAATACTTTGTTGTTTATCGACTCTCTAGAAAAGTTACAATAAAATATAATAAAAAAAATATTGCTTTTAAATTTATGTAATATGTATGTGTAGGAAGAACGTATTGTAATATTCATTTTCATATGCACTAAAATTTTACTTATCTTTAATCAGTTTGTACGGATTACTCTGTGTGTGTGTGTGTGTGTGTGTGTGTGTGTGTGTGTGTGTGCGCGCGTGCGTGCGTGCGTGCGTGTGTGTGTGCATACATATATATATATATATATATATATATATATATATATATATATTTTTTTTTTTTTTTT